CCACTCAAAATATTTTCTTTTAGCTACGTCTTTGTTAGAAACTATTAAAAGAGGAATATCCTTTTTACTTTTCGACTCTATTAGAGAGGTCATACTGTCGAAAAAATTTCTTTTAGAAGGATAAGGGTCAGCAAGTTTAATCATACCAAGAACTAGTTCAGGTGATTTACAATTTGAGATGAGTTTTAGAGTATACTCAAGGCCATAAAACGTAAGCGTAGCTTCTGCATCCGAAAGCATAAAGTGTGATTGAAGCACACGCCTCTTAGTTTCGTTTTTTGTTTGAGTTATAAACCATGCAGCTAACTCGGTTAGATTGGAAAACTCATGTATGGGAGAGGAGTTACCACTAATATATAGAAGCGTGTGCCCGTCTGTATTGTTCTTAATGCACATCATATTAGAAGCATAAATAAATATCCCCATAGAATTTAAGGGATTAAATAAAAAAGCGAAAGGGGGAACATAGTCAAATTTTCGAAACCCAATAAAATATACGCCGACGTTATCAGCCCCCGTGGCTGCATTAAGCGCTAAAAATGCAGCTTTTTCACTTAAGCTTTTTTCCTTAAATTGGAAAATTATACTCTGTAGAAAAGACAGACGCAAGTATTTAGAATAATTTCGATAATTTTTTTCCCAATAAATATTTATGTATTTCTCATAGATGTCTTCAAAGTCAAGGCTTTTGGCTATTTCTATAACTTTATTAGAGGAAAGATTTAACCGGGTTTGTGCCGTAAAATCTAGACTCTTATTAGTTTGATATATAGAAGTGTGAACTAAAAATTTTTTACCCCTTCGGAAATATTTAGTAGGTGGACCTGAATAACCCAATATGTTAATGACGTGTTCTATCTCACAAGGAAGAGGTTTAGCATTTACACGATCATCAAAAGTGAAGGTGGGGAAAGTGACTTTATCAGAATCCAATAATGTAATACCGGCATAACCGCATTTGTCTATTGATAATATAGTTTCATATCTATCCCAGTCGTTTTTTAAAAAAGCATGGGCTAGGTTATCCTCTATGGTGGCGTAGCACACGTTCTTATTAAATTCGTTCGCGAACAGAATACTAACATATTTTGCTTGATAGGCATCTATTAACTTACCTTCTTTTCGAAGGATATTCTCCTCTAATACGGTCTTCGCTTTTTCTAATGGAGACTTAAATATTTCAAAAGGGACGCCATCTTTTAAGTTATAATGTTAGTTTCCTGTAAGTATAGATGGTTATAAAGTAGTTGATTACCTGCCAGGACAGAAAACTTAAGCCATAAAGCTGCCAGGAAACATATATCGAAAAAGCCTAAAGTAAAAATGGTAACGTTTTTTATATGAAAATGGAACAAAACTAAATACCCATCGAATGTAAAAGTGTAGATTAACAGATAGTTAAAGCCTTTTATATATTTTATGGTAACAAAAAATGCGGAATTAATTCAGTATTTAGTTAATTTTTTATATAATTTGAAAAAAAAATTTTATCAAAAATTTAGGTACGCACTGTTTTAAAAAGTTTTTTAGTTTATTATTAAACTCTAATAGCTATGATATAATAGCATAAATAACCTTGAAGAAGTTTCTATGATAATTTAAAGCTCTAAAAATGACATGTTTTCCAGCTTGCGAGAATTATTTTATTTTTATTTCAATTTGTATTTTTTTAAATTATCAGGATATGAAATGACTTGATGGAAACAAGATTTTCATTGGTATTTCCGTGTATCTGCATTTATAGCTGCTTATATTATACCATTTTTAATAAGCTTACTTTCACGTGATTTTTAATTTTATCGATAATAATACTTATGATGACATATATATATTCTAACTTGACAATATTATTTTTTTTAATTTTAGTTATATTTTTAAACCATTAGATATAAAATGACTCTGTAAAAACAAGATTTATATGTCTATTTCCGTGTATCTACATTTATATAAATGCATATATATTATACTATTTTCATGTCCATTTTTTATGATCTTTAACATTTCTAATTTAACGGTAATTATACTATGTATTTCTATATAAACACGAGATATTTAGTAATCGCACACTTCAGGTCTATTTTTTACAGTTATTTTTTTCTTAATGATAAAATAATCAATGATAATATTTGCGTTTTTCCATTAATACAAGCTATTTAGTAAATTGCAGACTCAGGCTGTGGATTAATTCCTCTTTATAAAAAATGCTAAAGTACGATTAATCTTGAAATAAGTTAGTCAGCGTTAATAAGTAATATCACTAAGAAATCAGATATTACATAAATAAAGAAAAATTTAAAGAGTCGATTTACGTGAATTTATAAACAAATATAAGAAACAAAAGTTTATAGAGTTAGCATAAACGAAATTGTTGGATTAATCTCTGACCATATAGAGTGGACCTTTGGGCACGTAATTTCTTATTTTAAAAAGTTGTTTGTTTACTTAGTAACCATAAAAAATGACCTTTTTCAGAGTTTTTTTTATATAAAACAAAAAATATCTTTTCCCTACTTGTGTTGTATAGGTTAAGTGGATTTGTCAATAATAAATACACTTAAGAGGTGATTATATGAGTTTTCAATGAAAAACGCTTTTTAGCTAACTATTTAAAAAATTAGTAGTAAGTTTACAAGTTGGTGACTTAGTTTCATTAAACCTTAAATAGCTTATAATATATCTGTTATAAGTATTAATGTATTAATTTTTATTAATGTATTAATTTTTATTCAAGTATAAAACTTGTGTATAATATAAATAGATTTCTATTAATTTTATCTGGCACTAGAGAATACATTTTCTTTTAGTTTAAATATTATAGATTAATATATTCCTAATCACTGTTCGCATGTATCTATTACAAACTGGCTACTATCTGTGTATACAGTTTGAACTTAAATAATAATTAATATTTGAATTATATTTTTTTTAAGTACTGCTTATTTTACTATCTTTACTTTTTATTTATAAATTCTAAAGTAAACTTTATTTCTATAAATTTATTTTATCAGTGAACCACTGTTATATGAGGTAGTCTAAATCATTACACCAAAAAGAAAAGACGCAAAGCACCTAAAAAGAAAAAAAAAAGAAAATTCAAGAGTAGGTAGTTGCCTAATACAAAGAACAGGCAAAATTAACTTAAAGCTACTTTTTCATTTATCATAAACAACTACCTTTTTTTTTCTTACACAGTAAATAAGCAATTACTACTTAGTAGCACAGCGTACTATCCAACCCTAACTTTACCTCACCTACTTAACTATCTAAGTTATTAAAAAATGTGAAGAACTCTGCAGTTCTCATAAATGCTTCTAAAAATTTTATTTAGTTATTGATATTTATTTTTAAATAATTTATAATGGTATTAAAACTTAACAATTCTATAATAATAATTAATAATGTTATTTTTCTACCTCCAGAAAAATTTTTATATCTACGCATTTAGGAAAACATCTAGAACTAATATATAAGGAATAGAAGAAATGTAGTTTTTAAACTTTCACTAAAATTATAAAAACATTCTAAACGAATAAAGTGCTATAGAGCACGACTTTTAATTTCAATTTTTTTTATGCGACTGAGTAAAAATTTTTTGCCATAATAGTAATTTAGACCAGATGAATTTAATATGTTAAGTGGTAATTTATAATTCTCTAGTTTACTTTTAAATCACTTGGGTTGCCCAAGAAAATTTTCTTATATCTTATTTATAACTCGGGCTTAAAGAAAGCGTTTGAAATAACCAAAGGCGTCTTGGTTACAAATCCCTAATTAAGATTACAGATTGGTGTGCTATTTGCTTTCTGTACTTTTCCGTAATCGCAGTTAGTCATTCATAACAAGGAGGGCATTAGAGTTAAAGGTGCTGTAACATCACAACTACGCACGAATATATAGGATTACACAGCAATCGTTAAAAGTCGTTATAAAAAATTTAAATAAATTGTGCTAACCCTTCTTCCCTTTTACTTATTGATTACAAGATAAAGCTTAATTATAATAGGATGTAACGAGATTGTCCTATAAAAACAAATAGGAAAAACAGACTCTCCGCACAACTAAGTTTTTTAGCCATTAATTGTTAATTTTATTTAAAATTTCTTGTAAGGTTTTTTTTTATAATTTTATAGTTGATTAGTAAATTTAAGGCAGCAGTTTTTAAACGACTAATCCTGTAGAAGGAATGTCGGGTTTCTTTATTACACCTTACAGATATTATTAGAAGAAAATATTTTGCTAATTAATGAATATATAATCTTCTAAAAAATTCTTTAGAAAGGATTTTTACGATATTTGTAACTCGAAGTTAAACATTTATAATAATCAAAAAATTTTAACAAAACCAAAAGTTAAATTTATCTATAGATTAAATAGTGAAATTAATACTTTATAAACTCAAAGTTAATTTATTTATTGTACTAAAAAATTAAGAAATTTGACTATATTAAGATAATTTTTTAACATGGTTAATGGATGCAAAAGTTAAATTAGTACTTAGCAAATTCAGCTAGTTAAGTGTTTTCTTTTGTAACTATGTTTTCAAAACGTTGAGTTGAATTTTTTTTAATCAAAATTAGATTTATTAGTAGATTAAACCGTTAAAATTATTACTTAATAAATTTTAATAGTATAATTTTTATTCTTTTATATTATTTGTAAGGATTGAGTTTGATTTTTTTTTAAACAGTTAGATTTTTCTAGTGTATGGAACGGTTGTGAAATACATTATAATCTCCGAAAATATATTTGATTTTTTTTTATAATTAAGTTATAATAATGTTAAGTAGAATTTTTTTAAAGGAACCACTAGATTTAAAGGTAAATGAACCAGTAAAACACTACTAGTACAAATAATTTTCCATTATAATTATATTAGAACAAGGTTAAATTGGATTTATGAAATAAACAATTAGATTAATATTTAAAATAACAGTAAAAGTAATACTTAATAAGCTTAATAGTATAACTGTTATATTTTATAATTACCTATATTGATAAAGTTGGGCCAATTTTATCGGTAGTAAATGAAGATTTATACTTACACATAAGAACTCCAAGAGTATAATTGATTTCCTTTGTATATAAGATTTTAATAAGGTTAGATGGTATTTTTCTAAACAAACAATCAGAATTATTAGTAGGTAAAACGGTTAAAGTAACTCTTATTTAACAAATAGTATAGTTGTTTTCCTTTTTAAGTATACTTTAATTACGTTAAATCGGATTTTAATACGACTTACAGTTAGATTGTTAGTTAATAGAACAGTCAAAATATAACTTAAACTCAAAAAAAAAAATTTTACTATATTTCTAATAACAAAGTTGCGTTTGATTTCTCATAACATTTAACAGTGTTAGTAAATAAAGAACTTTAAACTTATTCTTAGTATACTCGTCCAGTAATTTTCATTCTTATGAATGCATTTATGATTGCTTTTAAATACATTGAATTGAATTTTTCTTAATTTAAAAATTAAATATGTTAGTAGATAAAAAATTTGAAAAGTTTTTTCACCCTCTATTAAGTGCTAAAATCAGCCACTAGCAAACAAGCAAAGTGAAGTTGTTGAATAGGATAATAAAGAAAAATGCTTCGTTTCTGTTTCAAATCCAAGAACTTAAGTTTTTCTATGCGAGAAATATATTACTTTAATTTTGGTAAAAAAGCCAGTAATTAAAGTAACTGTTATGTTTATTAGTTTATCGAAAAGCAACATGTTATTTAAAAAGAAAATTTGTTCGTAACATAATAAATAACAGAAGTAAACTGTTTACTTATTACTATTGCAAAAATCTTTAAAATATTAAAATTTTAACTTTTATGACGTTAATGTGATATCACAGGGCCATTTTCAAGGGGTTGCAAGGCTCAAACTTTTTTTTGCAAGACCTGCGAGGGCCCTAAAAAAGTATAAAATTGCAAGGAGTCTGCGGCTTAATTTGACTCAACACGGGGAAACTCACCAGGTCCAGACATGGTAAGGATTGACAACGCTCTTTCTTGATTCTACAGGTGGTGTTCAATAAGTTTTTAGGCATTCTCATTTCTTTACTAATGCTTTGCTAAAAGATCTATTGCACAAAAAATTTAGAGTTTCTCAGTAAACTTTAGTGCTAATATTTCAAAAATATTAGAAAATTAATTTTAAGACGTAATTTTTTATCTCTCTGTGCTTCTTAAAAAAGATTATAGCTTAAAAATATATTTTAAAAAATAAATAAAGTTGCGAAAGTAATAAGATGTAAAAATTAATGTTTTATTATAAGACCGTTATTAAAAAATGTTAAATTTTAAAAAATATAATTTTTTTAACTAGGGTTAGTTGGTAAAAAAAAAAAAGTATTGAACATAAGAACTTTACTTTGAGTATAACTTTCGCCAGAGGGTCCTAAGATGCAATTCCCTTTCAGATGGGTACTCTTCCTCAGAAACTGCCCCTGTTATACTCGAAAAAAGTCAGAACAGTGCAGTGAGGACAAGATCCAAACAATAAATCCTATTTTGTCCAATTAAAAACAACTACTCCCGGTTTCGTGAAGGAAAAAGAAACCTCATAAAATGCAAGTAAACAACTGTTTCACCAATTGGATAAATTATAAAAGCATGTCAACAACTAATTCTCCAATTAATATTTTGTAAAAACCATACTTTTTAGTTTGAGAGGTTGTTTGTGTACTATTATGAGTTTTGAGTTAGAGATTTCTTCTAGTTCATTAACACAGATGATATAACGAAGAAAATATCTTTTTAATACCATATAAGCTATATATGAATTTAAAGACAACATCGTCTTTTTGTTATCTTTATACTTGCATGCTTCATTTATTCTTCTGATGAGGTGGTATAAAGTTTTTTCTTAAAATTCTTTACGGTACGAACCATTAAAGGTTTTAGAAAGTCTCTTTTCAAAAGTCTTTTGTAGAGATTTTTAGTAAAAAGCCAAAAATCCTCATCAAAAAAATGTACATAAGATCTTATTCCTGCGAGTTATAGTCGCAATAAGGTTTTTTATGATACTAAGAGGACGTGCGCTGTAAGAGGAAATAAAGATATAAGTTGGGTTCGTTTTCACTCGTTTTATGCACAATTCTATTAGTCTTTCCATGTAAATAAATCTAGAAAGGAAATAGAATTGTTCTGGTTTATCTGCAAAGCCCAGATTGGCTTAGCACATTTTGACATATGGTTAAAAAAGTCCGAAAGTTGAACTGTATCATTTTCTACCCATATGATTAATGTATCATCCATATATCTTTTATATAACTTAATATAAGGAGAGAATTTAGGTATATCTGAAGCTTCATAATACGCCAAAGATAAAATAGCCAAAATTCGAGAAGCGGAATTTCCCATAGGAATCCCGTTTACTTTGGTATAAGATATCATTAAATAGAAAGACACTATGTAACAAAAGATAAATCGCTTCATAGTATGTACAAAAGAAATTTTTATGGCCTAGAGAGTCTTTTAGAAGTCTACAGAGATTCATAAATTTTCTATTGGAATACTTGTATAACGCGCTTCTGTATCTAGTGAACATATAATGTCATTACTTTCAATAAAGGTAAAAGGTTAGCAGAATTCTTTATAAAGGATAATATTTTTAGAAACTAATGGTTAAAAGTTAAAAAGCAACTTGAAATGCTTCTTGTTAGCTACTCCGCCTTATATGCAAAGATTATACCAATAAGGACATTAATGATAAAATTTTGCAAAGAGTTTTAGCCTAACGAATAGGAAATCCAATAATTATAACAGGGTCTTTTTCAGGTCGCTCTAGGGTAGGGGTTTGTAATTTTTTTTTAAACAGAAATTAAATTGTAGTTAATTAAATGTTTTATACTAATCAGAAAGTTCATTATAAATTTAATTGCACCACAGCTGCTAAAATAAGGTGCGAACCTTTACATCAAGGACCCCGTTTCCTACATGCCCTCCTATTGCATGTCGCGTTCCAAGCATATCGAGGAGAGTAATGTCAATATTAAGACCCTCTCTTCTTCTCAGCTTTCTTCTTTTCAACAATAGTATTATGTCCATAATAATTAATGAGAAGCAAACCCTGAATAAAGTAGGTATGACCCTCTTTTAAACTACCCAAGTAAGTTTTTAATTTTACTATAGCAATTAATTTTATCACCCGCTAAGTTATGAAAGCGCGGTCTATATTTCTTTACGAGAAAAGTTCTTAAATTAAAGTTACAGGCATTTCTGAAAAAAAAATAAATTCACTTTATGACGTATATTTCTTGTGAAAGAAAATCCTTATCATTAAAAAATTACTTCATCTTTAGCTTTAAAAATTTTCGATGGAAAAATTTAATTTTAGGCACTTAAAAGCTTGAAGGTTAATACAAGGATTATTTTTGCTTATATGCTCCAATTCGTCTGTAGAGTTCAAACATTTTTTATTATCATAGATTTGAAGAAAAAAACAATTAATTTCTTTTTAAACTAAGTTATTAACAAGCGAAAACAGCTTTTACATATTTTCTTAATTTTTTGTTGTCCATCATCAATAACCATACTTTCAGCTGTTAGAATTTGAAAAGGCTTATTAACTCTAGTCACAAAATTTTTCTAATTCAACAAAACGATGGAATAAATCTTCATTTACTATCAAGGAGCGAGCCCATCTTGCATACATAAAAAATTTCTAAGCAACCTGGCTTCGTAAAAGTTCTCGCTATCACACAAGTCAACTGTGTAATCTTAAAAAATTTTATTATCTATTCCCACTATGTCGGGACAGTTTCTGATGCTCTTTTTAGGATTAAAGTCACATTAAAACTTACTAACTCCTCCAGTTCTTCTACTAAACAATGGCGTCAATATTCACTATGTAGCTGATTTATATTTATCATATCCTTTAACATAACGCTACCTGACACTGCACCTTCAGAGACTTTTTTTCTCTAATTTCGGTAAACAATAAAAGTATAAATTTTTTTTTAATGACTTTTAAAATTATAAGTATTTGTAGGAAAAGAAAAAAAAAACCAGCACAAAGACGTTCAACTGTTCTTGAAGAAGTTTTATAACTATCAAATTTTGGTTTGGTTGAAGCTTTTCTTACCTTCAAAGGCGTGCAGACATGGTAATAGCGGTTACTTTCATTTTTAATAGCGAAAATATTAAAAATGTTTACTAACCCTGGTAGATTAACTTAACGTGTACGCCAGCAGAAAACGGAAGTAAATCAATAAAACTTTTCTCATTTTTAAAAAAAACTTTAGTAAGAAAGTTGCACAAGTTTAAAAACTAATAACTTGGTGGAAGTTGCAAGACGTACTAGACGACGCAATCTCTCCTCAACTCTAACAACTTCCAAGCTTAACCCGTTGCAACGCTGAACAAAAATGTTTTCGTATAACTTCGCAATAAAACGTAAACGGATCCCTACGGAAGCTAGGCTAGAAAAAAAAAGTACTATTTATTCTGCTATTAACAATTTTATATAATTAAAAAGTGGCAATCCCTACCCTAGCTTGAGGCAAAAAAAGCCCCTTTATTGTTATAAAATCTTTTAAGGAAGATTTTGCGTTCAGGTGAACCATTTTACATACTTTGGTTGGTTGGTATTTCTATTAGTAGTAGTGTAAATTATTCAATTAATTGACTTTAACTTATATTTTTTTTAGCTATTCAAGTATTTAGTACTCTTTACACAATGACTTTTATTTTTACTTCCTTCGGTTATTAAATGTAATTTGAGGCTCTTATATTTATGTTTTATAGGATCTTTTATAACTAAATCGTTTGTATTACAAAATCTATTTTATGTAGGTGTAAAAAATTCCAAAAAATATGACTCAACGTTTCAAATTTTTAATATCTGTTAAAATTTGGTATGGTTTGTATATTTATGATCCTAGGAAAAAATAAGGCTTATTATAACATCTAATTTTTTTCAGTTCAAAAATACATAGTAAAACATAAAAACTTTTTAGTTTCCTTAAATTTACTTAAAACAGTTATATAAATTTACGCTAAACCTTCAAGGGGTTCAATTGAAAAAAAATTCTAGGTGGTAGGTAGCTTACAATATAGAATTGTTTCGTAAAGTGTAATACACCTTTAGTTCTAAGAAACTAAAGTTCCTTTAAACCTATAGAAGAAAAATAACACTGAAGTTACAATAACCTGTTTTTATAAATCTTTTATAACTAAAATTATACAAATTACCTGTTTCAAACTTACATTCTAAAAAAATTTAAAAAAGATATAAAATAAACTGCAATATTTCCATATAAAAACAGTATACATTACAGAAGTTTGCTTGGTAGTTATATTTAATAACAGCTTTATTGGGTAAAAATAATATTTAATTACTTTCAGAATATTATTGTAAAAATAGAACGTAATCTCATCGTATATAAATGGAATTATAGACTTCTGCTAATGACATTTTTTGTAAGACATCCAATCCTCATAACTCCTACCCCAGCTAACCCTAATCCTAGGGTCACCTGGAAACCCCTGATATACCAAACGGAAGTAATGTATTTTAATAATAATTTGGAAAAATTATTATTTAATACATAAAAGTGTTTTTATTAGTATAATAATAAAAGTTAAAAAGTAGGAAAAAAAATATCTATTAAAAAAAAAGTGTAGTAATAATAAAAACTAAGAGGGATATTATAGTAATACCAAGCAGTCGTTCTCTACGACTGGTCACAATTTCGCGTTCACTGCCTCTCCGCTTCGATAGAAGTTATCTAACCTCAATATTTGCTCTAGAAAATCCTGGCCCCTGCAAGATGGCAGGAGTGAATGACTTATTAAACTTCTTGTTAACACATACTCCAGACCTATAATAAATCTCTACTTAATAACCAAGCAGAAAGAAAAAAAAAGGTTTAGGCTATGTAACATGAGAATACACCCCCCCCCCACCTCCTCCTCAAAAATCCTCGCTTTTTGGCTGCATTTATGACGCAAAATATTTAATTAATGAAATATTTAAATTGTTAATAAAAAGACGAAGAAATTAACTGTTAATTTACCTGTTAAGAAATATTTAAAATTAGCTGGAAAATATAAATAAAATTAGTAGCGGATGTATGCAGTGCCGTAGCCTTTAAGCTAATGAATCGTTAGTTTTTGCTGTTTTTCTTTATCTCCTTCCTGTTTACTTAAAAGAAGCAATAGAGTGAATAAATTCAGTACTTATTTATATAACTGTTAACAGAAGGGAAAACGGAAGTAAAAATCGGGAGTGGAAATAATATAAAAGCATTCCGCTTCACTTCTTTATAGCGTAATAAAAATATATGTTATTAATAAGAAATTTTAAAAACTTTTTCAAGCAGTTAGAATAGAAAGTCCAAGCATATCTTTACATAAAGTGGGCTTAAGAATATAAATGAAAGTAGGAGGTTAATAGACTGTTATTAGCTTCACTAGGACAGGGGTACAGTTGGTTTGTAGATGTCCAAAAATT